GTCGTATGAATTCAAAATTTTTCAGGGGGGGGGGTGGGCACCACTGATCCAAGGGGAGTTCTCGGGGGAGCCCTCCGTCTTCCCGGGAAAATTTTTAAACAAAATGAGTCATCCCAGGAGCAATTTTGATCTGTTCTTGACGAAGTTATGATTGCAATACAAGTTTAAAAAAGGAGGATTTGTCAAGCACTCATCCAGCAAAATCCCTCACATGTTCTAGGGGCCTGGCCCTCTCTGGCGCCCCCCCCCCCCCCCCCCCCCCCCNCGCTCCCGGTGGCAGTTCATTCAACGTGCACATTCTGCGTGACCCGTGTCATCGAACCGAAACCGAAGCGTCTGGCAACGCGGTGGCGTGAATGAATTCTGAAATAATCCCGCGCTGTGAATGTATACATTTATCAGGGAAAAATGTGAGACTGGGAGAGAAACGCACGATCGTCTGAGTCGTGGAGATAAATTAGAGTTCGAGCTTGACAATAACACAGTAGTTTATCACTGCGCAACATTACTGGAGCTGCTCAGCTGCACTTGACCCTGCGTCTACTGGATTTTAACTACGGCCAACGACTCATTATTATTCGCACACCACACCAGCGGCACAACTGCGCAGTTTGCGGTTGCGCCCTTTGCAGGAGCAAGCATGAGCGCTCGACAGCACTCGTCAGGATGGGTGTCCGTCTGTCCATGTCTGCCTCTGTGTTCGTGACTCTTTATTGACACACTGCCTGACGATGAGACAAAATCGTCGTCTATCGGGCGAGGGAACGTAACTCCATTCCAAGGTTGCCAAATTGACTCAAACAATTAATTTATTAAACATAAATGTACCTGTGCAATTTGTATTCAAAATTGTTCTGATTTTTGCATGAAATTTTACGAAAAATCGTGAAATTTTCAGTTAAGAATGCCTCAAATTCTCCTAGTTAATATGCATTTGCGGGGGAAAATTCGGCAACATTGAAATGGATTTACGTCCCTTCGTGCAGGAAACGATGAAATATTCTAGAGACCCCGCGCCAGTGACTTTCCATGCTTGAACAGTTGTGACATACGTAGCAGAAACTACGCAGAGGCTTTTCTATTCGTCGTTTTCAAAACGAAGGAATGTAGCTCCAGTCCGAGATTGCGAAATTGACTAAAAAAATTTGAACTTTAATAATAATATAACATCGGATAAAATCTAAGCCCCGTTTTTTATATAATACCATAGATGGCAGAACGTTCTTCCAACTCAAAACAAGGCGGAGCCCAGAACAATGGTAGAATATAAGATGATGGGTTCGAACCCAACATGCAACTATTTGAACTTCGTGGTGGGCCGGGTTGCACACGCTAGATTTTGCAGGCGAAATCTGAGTTCTGGCCACGGCATACGAGCGCTCGCGACATACTACAGTTGTGATCAGTGTTTTACCTCAAGCGTATGCAACCTGGCCCACCACGGAGTTAAAATAGCTGCATGTTTTGTCCAAATCCAACTTCGCAAATTCCTCGATTATTTAACGCTTATTGCGTGTCTTTTGGAAAGCATCTCAGTTTGTTATTATCGCGTTACAAATCTGTGCGATAGGAACATCCAAATAGTTGACCAAAACAAAACGTCACGCTTGAGGAAAACACTAAATGTATTTGTACCCTACCGCGAGAGCCGTGGGCCGATCTCAGAAATCGCCTGCAATGTCGAGCGTATGCAACCCGGCCCACCGCGGAGTTCGAATAGTTGCATGTTAGGTCCGAACCCAACTTAGAATTTCCTTTCGTTGTTTTACGCACCGCACATTATTCAAATGCTCAATTTATATTTCAGAAAGGCATCTGGTTAATTTGTATCGCGTTCTATTTTGTTTGTAATGTTTTTTCTATGTTAACTGAGGAGTATAGAGGAAGTTACACAGGATATTCTCGTATGATTCCAATTTCGAAGGGGGTGCTGGAAAATGACAGAATGAATTTTACACTGAAAATCGTGTTACTGAAATTATTTTTTTTGATGGAGAGAAATACCGGGTCAATACTTAATCCGCTTCACTTGGACATGACCAGAGCCTAAAATATTAGTTCCTTCGCGAAAATTCATTTTAGTCCAATTTCTCAATCCTCTTTCCAGAATCATGCCATTGCGCTTTCAATTTGTTTGCTGAATCGTATTTCTTCGAGCTTACTCCATAACTCTCATCAGGCTGACCCAAGATTGCAGAGTACTCAGGGAACAGATCCCCCCGTAAAGTTTATGTCCAAATCTTTCGAAAAGGGGCGGGGACTCGTAAATTTATTGGAGATTTCCCCCGATTTTTTCTGACAAAATGCTTCATTACCAAAAGAAAGAAAGAAAAAAAAAACCATCAAAGTTCATTAATCAATCCTACATAATTTTAGAATGCCATCCCGCTAGGATCTTAAAATGATCAAATGAAGCATGATTCTGACTGATTAAGTTTCCTCGCAGAAGAATTTCACCTACGTGTGGAAGAAAATTGGAAAATTCTGAAATATGTACCGGCGTTTTAACCGTGGTAGGCGGAACTCCTATCCGCCCTGCCCTGCCCTCCTCCTAAATGTCACTCTGCCAAAATCGCTCTCCATCAGTGAGCTTCAGGTTCAAGCTGTTGCGAACGTTCTAATATTTGCGTTACAATGTCTTCGCGGAGGAAGCGGGGACAACACCCAAATGCAATATTCGTGTCATTTCTCAGACCAGTGGGAGTGAGATGCACCGAGCATGCCGAACACGAAGTAGTCGAGGGACGATTAAAAATAGACGAGCGGAGGGGGGGGGAGGGGGGCGGAGAGCCGGGAGGGCCAAGTTATCATGTACGAACGCGACATGTTTATTAGCTATCCGAATCAAATGCCTCATGACAGATCTCGGTAGTTCTGCCCTCAATGTCAAACTATGTGGCGGGAAATGACGCGTTCAGCAGCCAGGTCTCTGACATGACGTTCCACGGGCCGCCGGGGTGGTGGACGGGGGGTTACCGG